ACCATAGTACTGAAACTGGTTACAGTAACAGGTTACACAGCATTGAGTAAGTTGTCATTACTCACATATTTGCCCCCTCTTTGCTCTTATCCTTTTATACTAGCCCATTTTTTATTATTTAAGAGTTTAATAATATTATCTAAGAAATTATTTTTTATGTTAATACCAAGATTATATTGTTCAACATTATAGTATATTGTCATAAGTATAAATTAAATAAAAATGCTCTAGAAATATTATTCTATTTCAATAGTTTTCTCCTGCATGCAAGCTAGTTCTGATATTAAATAAAAAAAAGTCTAAAGGTTGTTTACTCACATTATGAGAAACAATTATTGATAATTTTGAACTTGACAAATACCATACATTGTGGAGTTTTCCTTTAACAATATTACCCTTGGATTATGAACTTTTTTTTTTAACAAAAAAAAAGTTGCAATGACTCTGTATTCTTTTTTCACTCACAAGCTTAGAGGTATGCGGAGCATGAAAGAAATGTTGTCTCTATGCTCTAGCGTAACCGTGCCTCTTTTGCAAACAGATTTCCACAGCTGTGCTTCCACAGTTGGTTTTTTTAATCTCTAAAGTGGATAGACCCTGTATTAGAAAAGCAGAAGGGAAGAACAAAGGAGAGAAAACCTCAATTTTCCCCACAAGCTTCTAAGATGACTTTGCAAATAAGGTTACACACAAGTGGTGAAGGAAGCTTCCATTTTCGTGCCTCTGAAATTAAGTTCAAGCAGGCTACAGGAGGGATGGATGGGCAGCCTCACTTCAGAATAGTTTGCAAACATTCCCAAGCAGGTCATACAAAATATGGATGAGGAAGTATAGGAAAGTTTGTATCACAGAGTATAAATTGTGCACCCAGTTGAAGCAAATCCGGGGCCCTGTCAGTGGTTCAGCAATCCTGCTTCATTCTTCTGCAGTCGTACTGCTGTACCTGAAGCTATTTAGTTTCTGCTGCAGTTGCAGTTGTTAGTTACAGCTAGTGCAAGCTCGTGGCACATAGAGAGTGAAGGAAACAGTGCATGGTAGGTGTTTGTTGTGGGAGGAAGGGTAAGTGTGATTGAAATAACTTTTTTCACTCGAGGATCAGTGTGACATAAGAGCATGTGATTACTGCCACTGCTGGAGTTTTGTGTTGTAAGGTTGGGCGTTTTTGATTTTTTTGCATCTGTAACAAGCTATTACTAAACTTTTGTTTGAAACAGATAGAAAATAATGGACCTCTGATCAACATGATATACAAAGTGCTAAAGAACTCAGCACAAGGGTTACTATCCAGTGTACATGTAAGACTGCTTGCTTCTGAAATGTGCTCATCCCATTGCTTTTTAAAATAGCAGTCACTGTTTATGTATTCTGGCTTTTAAGAGGTGTCTTATGGTAAACAGTAAAGCTTTCTGTAAGATTTTTTTTTCTTTCCTTTTTTTTCCCCCCTTTTGGAGTCTGTATGCAAAATTATGGCTGACCTCAGTGTTTGATTTCATTTTATCATGTTTTGAAAATGGTTTTGTCAAGTAGCAACTCCTACGTGTAATTTTGAAAATGTGAAAGCATGCTAAATCTTCTTTATGTTCTCATGTTCACTGCTTGATAATTAACAAATTATTTACAGTTCTGACTATGTAATTTAAAATATCCCCCAAATCTGTAGACACTGTTTTTTAATTCCATTGCTTTAAAAAAGGCTTTTGCATTCTCTTAGCCTGCAGGTAATTAAATATATAAAATTATTACTTTGACATTCTAGTATTTATGCTTATATTAAATTATTTGTTACTATTATACATAGAACTTAACATTTAAATAATTTCATTAATACTTTTGAAAGAAAGGATTTGTGTTATATAAAAGAAATCATTGTTGAAAATAAAAATACCCAAAAATGGAAAGTTTTGAGAGGCAGTAAATGCTTTTGATTTCAGTGGTGGAGAAGTAACATGCTACCACATGAAAACACATGATAAGTCTTTGAATGGAGTCTGCTGTTGGAGAAGACAGTAGCATGAATGATGATCGTACTCTTCTGTCTTAAACCTACTTTGTTATTTGAAAATCCTATGCGTAGAGGGCTAACTTCATATAACATGTTAAATAAGAAACTGAGGTTGTATCGGAAATTTATCTATATTACAGTAAAATTTAATTACTTTAAGAAAGCTAGCATGATCCTGTAGGTGCTAGTTAGGTTAATAAGTAAACTATATAGCTTCAAGTCTGGAGATTCTAGTCAGAGTCAGTGAAAAAGCAAAATACTGCTTCTGCCCCACTAAAAAAGCCAACAAATGCTGCTCTTACATTAAAACTTCTGCTGTTATATTATTAACGATAATATTTAGGTGTATTTTTCTTCATAAACTCTTGCCTGTGTATCAACAGAAATATACTGTATATAACTACTATAGTTCTAAACGTCAGCTGTTTCTTTGGTAAGACAGTATTTGCTTTAATGAATCTTTAAAAATGTTCTAATCTAATAATGTGAAGTCATTAGATTTTAAAGCTTTTAAAAACTGAATGATTAATGAGCTTTATTATATTGCCATTCTCTTAACCTCATTTATTCACAAAAGGGTCCCATGTGGAAATAATAAACTTGTCTGCAGAGATAGACATGCCTTCATTTTAAGATTGCTGTGAAGTTGAAAGTATAATATAGTATAGTTTCTGTACTGATTTAGAACCATGTTATGTGAGAAGGTAATCTTCTCACCAGAAATTAAATATGAAACGAGTGATTTATAGAATGAGATATTTGTAATATTATAAACATGTCAAAATAGATTAATTACATTTAATTCCACTATAGCAGTTTTATAGCAGTCTGCTTTTAATAAAATTCACCCTGCACTATGGAAGAGACTGTCCTTTGTAGAATGAAATAGTTGCCAAAAAGTAGTATTTTTAGTCATTAATTAATGCTGTTATTCTTGCAACCATGCATTTAAAGGAACTATTCAAGTCCTTTGGCTTCAGGAAAGCTATTAAAGGCAAACTGTTAAAACTATTAGGTTTTGCAGGAAGAGGGCCTTTGTAACCATAGACAAGAGGAATTATGCTGTTTAATACAGAACCTTCAGCTACTGTAAGAGTTATTAAATAGCCAAATATAACTAGCAATCCTTTCTGATAATATTTTTTAAAAACTAAACCCATATTTGAAAAACTTTGTATCCAGAATTTTATTCATCTTTGTTAATAACTGTGAATATTTAACAAAGCTTTTCATTTCTGAATCATAGTTAGGTTTTAGTTTGCAACACTTTTCTCAGATCTTTAAAACCTATTCTTCTTAGGTGACGGGGCGTGAGACGTTAAAAGAACGAAGTACAAAACCTGTCAAGATCGCCGAAAGTGATATTGATGTAAGTACCAAATATCACTTCAGAACCTCTGGCATTGTTTTGGCTATTTAGCTTGTACTGTTACGTGTTCACTTTATTGTGCTCTTTGGGGTAAAATACTTCTAGTGGAGACTTTTCTGCTTGGTTTTTAAAATCTAAGATTATGTATTTATATTATTTCATTTTCAGGTCAAGCTAAGCATTTTCTGTGAGCAGGACAGAATTCTGCAGGACTTGGAGGACAAAATAAGAGCCCTTAAAGAAAATAAAGTAAGTAGATTAAAAAAGAGTTTTAAAAAATAAAATAACGACTTTCCTCTGATCATAAAATATGGAATTACAAACAAAAAATCAGATTACTGAATGCTGCTTGCATTGTAGTAGTTTTCTTTGGACATGTGTATAAACTTAAGAAAAAGAATTGGTTTTTATGTTAGGATTGACTGTCCACTTTTAGAAAACATGGTTTTGAAAATGAATGTTTTAAAACCACATACATTTACTTTTCTGGCATTTATTACAAATTCGAGTCTCTACCCTTTTCTGTGTAGTTTAGCTTTATGTCTTAATATGTATATGGTGTGAGGCAGAGTCATGTTTCCTTTGCAGTTCTTCCCACCTGCACAAACATTGTTTGCATACATAGCAACATGCTGCCATATGGAGCTCTCACTGTAACTTGTGTGGTGGTTTGTTGGCGTTTTTTTGGTTGGTTTTGTTTAGTTTTTAAATGAAAAAAAAGGGAGTGAGAGAAAGGAAAGAGATTCAAATTTGTAGTAATGTCAGAAACCTCTGCTGGTTTATATATAGTAGAGCACTGTGAACTTAGTTCTGAGGGTTGTGACTGAAATGCTGGTGTATCTTCTGTGACAAGTTTGTGGTTGGAACCCACCTCCTTTCCTCCATGCCCATGCAAGTCAGAGTTGAAATAGTAAACAACAGCAAAACATTTGCCTCTCCTTGTCTTTCTTTGCCTGTATGTATCTTTTCCTGCTTCACTGCCTGTGAGCTATAATTGTCAATAAACTGAGGTGGTTCAGGAAAAAAAATCTGTTCTGAAATGAAAGTACTGTCCAGATGGATCCTTCAGAAGAGCTACTGTGCAGAAATGATTCAGTGTTGTTTACTCCTGATGGAATGAATTGGACCTACTTAGTGTTTTGGACAGTATTGTGATCCCACATGGCTAATTTAACTCTAGCAGTGAATGGGAAGCTAGTGTTAAATAACGAGCTGATGCTGCGCTGTGGTGGGACTGTCACAGTTCTATACTGCTTAAGGGAATTTGTCTGAAACTGTAAATTACAGTTTTGTACAGACTGTAAATAGCAAGATTCCCCTCTCACTGCTTTGTGTTTTCCACAGCTTTGGCTACTTAATGGAAAGATTCAATGGAAAATAGCAGATCGTTTTGGTTATAATAATTAATTAAGACTTTTTTTTTTTTACATCTTAGTCTTCACAACAGGAGGCCAGTTCTAACCTTTAGTGGCTTATAGGAATGACTGAGGCTGTGGAAAATAACTTCTATTTTCCCCTAGGTAGATCCATGAAATTCCTTGTAAATATTGTAAGCTTACCATCATCATCATCATCTTCTTTGTTAGGATCAGCTGGAGTCTGTTTTGGAGGTTTTACACAGGCAGATGGAACAGTACAAAGACCAACCACAACATGCAGAAAAAATTTCTTACCAGCAGAGACTTTTGCAAGAGGATCTCATTCATATTCGGGCTGAAATATCCAAAGTTTCAACGGTATGTGGTTTTGATTGCATAAGAAAACCATGATTAAAATACCAGCTAGAGTAAAAGTGTATTTTTCATTGGATAGGGGAGTTAAGTCCTGTTCTGAACTGATTTGGTTAAGGTACGGAATGCTAAACCAGAACAAATAAATATAAACAGTCTGCAGTTTTCTTTTTTATTGCCCCCTTCCAGTCCCCTCCTCACCCTCGAAAAAAGCTCAAAATACCTTTTTATACCTTTTTTCATTTTATGTGTGAGGTTTAAATTGCAAATCTTTCAGCTAGTCCTTTGAAAATATAAATGTGATTCCATAGTATTTTTTCAGGGAAAAGGAATTGGATAAGTTTGGTATTTTGGTCAAAATCTACTGTTGATACTATGATTTAATAAAATTCAAATGCAATTTAACGTTGCATTTTTATTAATAAAAATATTTCTAAGAATTTACCATGAAAGTACATTAAACCTGGATGTTGTGTACTTACTGTATTGATCCTACCTCTTCATGAATATGGGATCAGCTCTTTATAAGATTGTTTCTGCAATTGCATGAACACCTTTCCTATAATAAAATCTGATAATTAAAATGCTAGTATTATTTAAATGTATATATGCATTGTTTTGTGTCTGTAGAAAACGTATGACTTCCACAGACAGCATTTAAAATTTAACTGGGGGCATAAATAGCAAGTAATTGTAAGAATGGCTGTACTGGTCCAGTCCAAGGCTCCCTCTAGCCCAGGGTTGTGGCTTCAGCAGTGGGCATGAGCAGATCGTTAGGGAAGAGTAAAGGTAGGAGAGGTGGGTGGTATTTCCTGTCATAACCAATCCAGCTTCTAAATATTTTCTGCTCAGAATTCCTGAGGCTGGTATTTTTTTTGTCTATTTGACAAGAGTCTGTTGACCCTTGCTCTTGTATGAGAAAGGATGGGGAATGGTCGGTCATTATCCATTCTTTCCATGCCATCCATGGTTTCATAGACCTCCATGATTTCTTCCCCTCAACTCCCAAGTGATCTATTTTCTAGACTTCAGAGAAGAAGCCTACTTCATCATTCCTTACATAAAACTGCTCCAGACACTTCGTTTTTCTCAGTTTTGGGTCAGAAGGCAGACTATGGTGCCTTGGATGCTGGAAATAATCTGAGTAAAGTAAGGGTGATTGGATAGCCTTACTTTCCAGATGTCTGCTTGTTTATTCACTTCTAATGCTGTTACAACACAGTTTGTAGAACTTTTAAAGAATAACCTACTTTGTTTTTCAAAACATGGCTTCTGGTTTAGGTGACTGTTTGGATTTTAATTATAATCTTGTTTTAAGTAGAGGAGTAAGGTAAAAGGAAATGGAACTAGAGTAGACTTTATTCCTTCATAGCATATTAGTCGTAGTTCAGATTCTGTTAAATGTCAGTTTTATGCTTAAGAAATGGTTTTGTGTTAGGAAGCTGGCCAGAATTTTTTAACTAGGGATTCTTGACTTGATCTTGCAAGCTATAAAGCATTTTGAAGTTTATCATCAACTCTAAGCAAAAACGTAGACTGTAAAATGGATTTTTCGCTTCTTTCTGTAATAGAACAGCACCATCTTAAAAACACTTTGGTGCTCAATTAGAGAATGGATAGAGTGATTTTGAAGTTTATCGTAACATTGTATTAGAGTATTCCTCTGTTAATAGGAAATGGAAAATGCCTGGAATGAATATCTGAAATTAGAAAAGGATGTGAGCCAGCTGAAAAAAGCCTTACAGGAACAAATGAATAGTTCACTGGTATCTCAGGTGAGTCTGTTACTAGACATTGGTTTACTTACGAGGTGATTTTGTCTGAACTTAAAAGCTATCATCTCGTAAGAGAAATTTTCCCCAATTTTTGCACTGTATTCAGCTGTCATGTAGCTTAGTGCAAAGTTCAGACATTGTAACACCATATCTGTGCAGTTACTAGCTATCTTGCAGCATGTGTAATAGTTTCTCATAAATTGTCTATGCACATTTGTCATTATTTTATTATGTTTTTTATTACATGCTGACATCTTGACATTGATAGCGTACTTAATTTATAAGACTATGCAGGACTTCTTAGTCTTCCATTTATTTGATCTGACATTGTTGTCTTCTTTATCCATTTTTAAGAACATCAGTCACTAGCTTGTTATTGTCATTACTTGTTCTTTGTCATGTTCTTCTATTTATGGAAGATTTATCTCTGCAGATTGTTTTCTGAAGTGGAATAAGTGTTTAACAGCCATCAGTAATTGAAAGGCGTCTCAGTTTTAAATCAGTTATTCAGTTTTGAATCTTATAAAGAAGCTTTGAAGCTAAGTTGTTCTCTTTGCTGAACTGGATGTGGCATACCAGATTATTTATACATACCTGCTTGCAACTGGTGATTTTATTCTTAGAGCAAGGAGTACAATCTGGATTGTTTTTCCTGTGTTTAAGCAGAACAGTTTTATTTAAAAGACAAAAAACAGGGACCAAAGCTAACGTATAAGTTTTGCTCAAATCTCAGCCTACTTTTTCAATTATCCTGGACCAAAAGAACGCAGTAGTTTTTCTGAATACCTGTTTTGGAGATACTAAGGGGAACTGATTTTTTTCAGAAAGTACTGAATGTTCTTAAAACTATATTCCTTCAAAGAAGTCTCACTTGAAGTACCCATAATAGAGTTTTTTAATCTCTGCCCAAGGGTATGTAGATTCAAGATTGTTTATCTAGTATTTATCAATAACACTAAATTAATACACACTGTATTTTAGAAAATGCAGTCTTAATGGAATATTATTAAAATGCAATAAATTTGCAGGCTTACGTTGCTGTAGGAAACGGCTAATGTTTCTATATAGCATTAATTAAGAGGTTCAAAACTGAATATTTCAAGCAGATCTGTCAAAATAAATCTTGCTTTTAAGAGTGTAGCTTCACTGTTTTTTGCTTAAGGGTTGGGGGATCTGGACGTGCTGAGATGTGGTATTTTGTCAGTGATAACTTTTTAGTTGGTAAGTGTTTCTCTGCTGGTTTTATAAGTCATTCTAAATTATGTTTCTGCGTGAAGGAAGTTAGAGAAATTGATTTATTTCTCCAAGTTGCCTTTTCATGCCTGCCCATAAAGTATATTTATACCCTTTCGTGAACAGCCATCTTGGCTTTCATAATTTAAAAGTATATTCATCTGTTTATCTTTTAGATCTAGTCCATTTTTTATCTAAAATATTCTCTTTACATCAATATTTAAGTAATGGGAAGAAATAATATTAAAAGACCTACTGGTGGTTGTGCATTACTGATCTAACATTTTCTGAGTGGTTTCAGAAACAGGATTTTTTTTTGTATGTGTGGGGGATTTTTAAGCAGTTCTGTGACTTGATTATTGTGAATCCATCATTTGGTTCCGTGTAGTGTGATTAATCTCAGAAAAATGAAATGAAATGTGCAAATTTATAGTTTGTATCCTGACAATCATTCAAGATACGTCCCATCTATCGAGTGAGTTTACTACAGGCAAATAACGTTCTCTGTCATTTAAATGTTTGTGTTCTTGGCATCCTGTTTGCTGGTCTGTAACCTGGCTGAACATATTTTCTGATTGAGGACAGAAAGTGGAAGGCAATTTATATGCCTTCCTTAGCTCTGTGAGGTGTAAGAGCTTTTACTAAAGTTTTTCACTTTCAGGCCTATAGGAGTAATTGGAGGTTATTTTGCAACTCATGGCAAGTGATGAATTTCTAGAGTTCTTGATCAGTTTGTAAGCAATTCTTAACTAAAGTGTTTCATTGCCTTCTGCTTTCTTTAATAATATTGTTTTCCTAAGTTTATTCTTAATACAAACTTTTGAAGGCAGAATTACCAGGCTTTGATTAAGTAGATGAGAATAGCTATTTATGATGATTGCAATGAACATCTGTCTGAAGTGGTAGCTTCAGCTCTGGCTGCAAGATGTAATCAAAGGTGGAATCCAGACTGTAGACAAAACTTCCCTTTCTTTCTTCCTGAAAAGACTCTGTAAAGCAAATAGGAGGCAAGGTGAGACCAGATCCTGGAACAGCAGCAATATATTGTTTCAACCTATACATCACGTCCAGTAGGTCTCACAACCCAAATGTGTATTGGACGTTTCCCCTAAGTGTATTAAGATGAATTTTGTAAGGCTGCCTTAGCAGTCTTAAGTGTGTTAGTATAAGATTTAAGAGCAAAGGTCAAATTAAAAGGTTCTGTAAGCTCATTTTATGTAGAACATTAGTTTTTTGTAGTCTGGATAATATTGTAGAGAAAAATACAGGTGTGTCTCTTTCCCCCCAGTCTTCTATAGGAAGTCTTCCAAGACTCAACGAATGCTCTAATAAATGACAAGATACGTTGTTTTGTGTTGATGGTTTGGGGTTTTTTTTAATTTTTATATAATTATTTAAATCCTTTCTAGTTGCTTTAGTTTTCATTTAAGTTCTGAAACATTAGTTTGGTTTTGGTATCAAAAGAAGGATAAGCCCCTAATAAATTAAAAATGAGATATAATTGATATTTCTTCTTCTCTTTTATTACAAATATCAGGAGAAAACACAAATACAAAAAGACTTGTGGAGAATTGAAGATGTTACAGCTGGCTTGAGTGCAAATAAAGCAAACTACAGAACCATAGTAGACTCTATCAAGAATCCAGGTAAGGAGAATGTAATTAAAACATGTAATGTAATTAAATGTAATTAAAAAAATACAAAAGCAGCTGAATCTTGGGGTCTGTGCAAATAGTCTAGAAGTTTGTTCTACTGCAGAAAATCCAGTTAATTCTGCTATTGGTTGCATAAGAAATTTCTGTTGATTGCACATGAACTTGGTGTTTCTTTGGTTGAGGTGGCAAAGAAGTTTTTGTTGTTTGTTTTCACATACTGATGGCACTAGAATGTAACAAGCCATAAAAAAAGGAACAATAACAGGCTAAGTTCTGCAAGCTGCAGAACGAGTTTCTATCACATGCCAGCCTCATACCAGCATAGTATCTATTCTGCATCTATTCTGCATTGTGTCCAGGAGCTCATCTCTCTGTTGTTCTCTGCCTTTTCTTCCCCACCTCCCCACCTTGGATGCTGCCCAACTGCCCTTGCTGCAGTTGCCTTTCTCCTCCCTCTTCAGGCAGGTGTTTGGTGGGCAGAGCAACAACATCAGCTATGGAAAAGAGGAAGGGAAAGTGTGTGTGGTCTGCATTTCAATTGCTTTATTATGTTTCAAAGAAAAGACCTAAGGCATTGGGATAGCAAGACACTGTTAATGCCTCCTGTAAATTCCCTTGATATTTAAAGTATCTTTGTTTATCTTTTACATACAGAGGTAAAATAGTTCTGAGCTGGTGAGGCCTTATTTATTTAAGGTATGGCTATGAATGTTTAGCCTTGTCTGGATCTATAAGCATCTTAAGGATTCTGTGGCATGGGGCCAGATACAGCCTATGAACTGATTTCATATGACTCTCGGGCTTTTCCTTCCTTCCCTCCCAATGCCCTCTCCAAGGAATTTTACTGGATGATATTAAAGTGTGTGTTTTTATTTTTGGCCTGAAAAGCTTGCTTGATCCTCATCAAGAAAAGGCTTTCCACCCCTGCTATAATGTAACAATCAAACATTTTTATATCTAAGGAAGCCATTTGTGTTCTAAGCAATGTGTGGACTGTTGTATGAAGTCTAAGGATGTTAATTGCTATTCTTATGAATGTTATTGATAAGAAACGCCACCTAACACATTTGCATATTTCTCCCCTAGAGAGAAAAATAGTGCCTTCATTTTCTCAGTCGTCAGTGCCTTCCTTACCAGCTTCCCTTGCAACTGCAGAGAACAAACTTTCCGTCCCGCAAAGCCCTCCCCCCAGTCCGGTTAAATCTTCTCTGGAGGTGAGGCTGTATCCACAGCCTTATTTCCAGGCCAGAGCTCAGCACCAAGCACAGCAGCTGAAAATAATAGAGCCGCCTCTTCAGTCACCAATTACGCTAAAGCCAAAGGTTGTAAGTACTGCTCCTGTGAGATTCGTTCCCCAGTGTTTCCATTTAGTTCTGGCAGAAAGTGAAAGTTTCATGATTACAAAGTGCACACGGTGTGGAGACACAACAGGGAGGCACTTAAGGTGTTTGTATTGAAACTGAGCAGTAGCACTTACAGGAGAATGTAAGTGTGTAACCTGGAGCTTTGTGTACAGAAGCCATATACTGTTTTAGAACATACTAATGCAGAGCCTTCCTTGGTAGTGCTTTGTCATTGATAGTTGATTGCTTTCTTGGATCTTGTTTGGTTTTTAAAGCCACAAACTCCTGATGTGGGCAGAGAAAAACATGCTAAAGCAGTCACAAATAACTCCTGTAATGTAATGAACTTTCAGTCAATTTATGCCAGATGGTTTTCAGAATGTTTCCCAAACACCTGTGCTTTCCTGTTACCAGGAAGATGAAGCACCGCCCAGACCTCCTCTTCCTCAGTCATACAGTCCTGATGATCAGCCACCAGCTGTCCCACCTCTCCCGAGAGAAGCCACTGTCATCAGACACACATCAGTGCGGGGCCTCAAACGTCAGTCAGATGAAAGAAAGAGAGACAGAGAACTCGGACAGTATGTAAATGGAGATTATAGGGTGAGCACTTACACACCTATAAACCTGCACTTTAAAGATATGTGAACATGTAATAAAATATACTGTCTGGAAAATGTATGGACCTCTAGGTCTTGTAATAAGGAGAGAGAGAGATACCGGCAGAGAGAGAGAGTAATGGCAAAGAGAGATCTATGCTGTATATTAACGGCAGAGAGAGATTTAGTAATCCTGAAACAAAGCTTTAGGATTTGTTTTAAGATTATTAAGACCTGCTGCCTGTGATGTCATTTGAGCTGATGAGTATTTTTCTGTACAGGTGGAACTGCGTTCATACATGAGTGAACCAGAACTAGCAATGATAGGTGGTGACTTCAGTCAACCTTCCAGTGGTTTAGTAAGCTCGGACAGTGGATACCAGACGCTACCTACCCGTGGTAAGCCAGGAATTTATGTAGCTGATTTTTAACAGTATTGTCTGTATAGGAGCTTTTCTTTCCTAGGATTTTCTGGAGATGGTGTTTATCATCAGATCATTATTTTTAGATTAACTATGAAATGTGTGAAAGTCTAGAGAGTCTATTCATTTTAATGGTGCCATTACAGACAACCAGCCTTTTGCAAAGCAACTTAATATATAATGCTTAAAAAAAACCCCAAAACCAAACCATAGCAAAACATTAAATTAGCTGATAGAATGTCTCCTCTATGCAGTTATTTTCCCTCATAATTTCTACATGATCTTTTACAAACTCAGGTATTTTTTCAATCACTTATATTGCCATTGAAGTGAAAGTGATAGAGAATAACAATATAATGCCCCCAGACACTACATGTGACTTGACACTCAATCCCCACTGTGTTAGTCCTGTAACTATTTAATAAATGAGGATAGAGAAGATATTTGTGGAAAATTAATTAATTTCTTAGCCATTCTCTTCTTATGCCTTTCCTTTCTAACTGTGAATGTTAAAGCTTGATTTTCTTCATAGATGTGATTTGTACAGTTTATCTACTGTTGTACAGCTGAGTTCACTCCATACCTCATTTAATACAAGCTTCTAAATTATTGTAGATTTATGATCTTTCTGAATTTTGATCAATAGTGACCTGAAACACATTACTTATGGCTGAAATGAGATTTCATACCTCTTATGATCTTCTAAACTGCAAAATATGAAATGTGATCTAAAATAGTAGCCAGAATATCATAGAAAAAGCATGATAAATTAAAAAATATCTGACACTTGTCTTCATTTTGTCTGTCGTTTGGTTTTAAAGCATTCTCTCTTTCCTTATAAAGGTTTATCTGGATCAACTTCCAGATTGCACCAATCATCTACCATTTCATCATATGCAACACTTCGAAGGGATAGGTCCAAGGTGAGTTTTAAATGAACATCTGAAGGCAAATGTCTCAACTGTTCGGAATAGTTAAGGCCAGAATATATTTTGCATAGCAGGAAGTGGGATTATAGTAGCATGGGAGAGGGCCCAACACCTGTGATCTAACAAAATCTCAGTTTTTTCACTTTCTTAAATGAATCAGGAAGAAATAGACAATTTACTGCATCTCAAATGGATTTATAAAACAAGGTTTAGGACAAAAAATCAGCAATATTAATAGAAAATACAGAGTTTAAATATGCAAATTAATGCAAAAGCCCAGAAAAAAAATCATGCTAATTTAGTAATAAAGTAGGAGAAAGAGTTAATTTTTTGTATACTACTTATAAAGTATTAATTACAACGTGTGTTTTGTGTGCCTTGTGACTTCTACAGGAGAGACCAAAGAGTGCCTTGGAACGCTTATACTCTGGAGACCACCAAAGAGGCAAGATGAGTGCAGAGGAACAACTAGAAAGAATGAAGCGACATCAGAAGGCATTAGTTCGGGAACGCAAGAGAACTCTTAGCCAAGGAGAAAGGCAGTCTGTTTCATCTCGGTCTTTCATCAGGCCCATTTCTGCAGACATAGGCTCAGTATGTTAGATATGCCTTAAAAGGACTAAACTAAAAATATCTTTGGATTTATTCTTTTTTCCTAGCAAGCACTTTCACTTGGGTGTGTGTTGATGCTTCTAGTCTAATTGAATTAGTGTTATGCAGTATAAAATGACTTCAGAGAGTGTGAGTAACAGATGATCTTTTTTTACTAGTAGTTACAGTATATGTAGCAGAGTTGGTCGGAGGTTAGCGTGCCGAGTGGAGATGTGAGTATATTAGAGTGATTTCAGAGATGTGATTGTTTTTTATTGGAATTGTATTTAGAAAATGTAAGAAGCTTGTACAGTTTTAAAACTGCTTCATAATGGAATGGGCCTTTTAGAATGTTCTTATTCACCATGGGAATTTTCCTTTTTAATTCATAAATTAGGCTGCAAGATAGTCATGGTAATATCAGACCAAGGTGGTGTTTTGTTTGTTTTTTTAAAAGATATTATAAAGGGATAAACAGTTTTAAAATCTAATCATGCTGATTAGAAATTAATGTAAGAGCTAATGTGTTTTAATTGATAGAAATTTTTGTTTAGAGTTCAAGATGTAGAATATTCTAATAAGGCTCAAATTTAAGTTGCCGAAGAAAAGGATTTTTGTTGCGTTCTGAGATCCAATGCTGTACAGATGATAAGTTTGTAACAATACATTTTGGATACTAACCAAAGCAATTCTAATTGGTGAAGTTACCCAGTCGATCACTTGGTGCTAAACCAAGATTGTACTGTAATTGCACTTATGCTGTGGTCTTTTAATTTATTTTTTATTTGGTCCCCTAGAGCTTTAGAATGATCGCCTTGTTTTACCTAATTCATTGCACAAGATCTCTTGCTTTTGGATTCGTCACTCATCATACCTAATGCCTCTTTTTTTGTTTGCTTGTTTTTAATTTGCAGAATTTTTTAGTTATTTTAAAATTTCTAACTGGACTACTCAATTTTTACCAGGCTTAATTGCATTTAGTACGTGTGTCAACTGCTAGCATTAAAAAAAATACCTATAATATTCAGCTTTTCATTCCCACTGTTCAGTAGCACTAATTTACAGCCAGTTGTTTGTATTTACTTTCCCAGTAAATACAAGTGCACTATTTGAAGACATTCATCTATTTTGTCCTTGGTTTTGCAATCACAAATTTATTAAAGGTAGTGCATAGTATTTGGGAACTGTAGAACTATAGTATCACTGTTATTTTCATATTTTAATTAGAAGGACTAAATCTGAGTTTCTTATGTTTTCTGACTCACATAACATACACAAGTTGAATTTAAACATTTTCGTAACACTCCTTATTAACATTTGTGGCAAACACTTTTATCTATAAATTTGGGTGCCATCTTGGTCTTTTTCTTGCTGTAAAGAATAAAAATAGAATCTTTCAGCCCTAGCAATGTTTTGTCAGAGGTCATCTCTTGTACCTATAGGGCTTCAATACGCATGTTTGATAGCACAATTACTTACAGCATTACAATTATTTAGCAGCCAAAATGGCAAACAGATAAATGTATAATTGAAGTGCTGCTCAGTATGTAACATTTGCTTTAAACATACATTGTATGTGTATTTCTAATTTTTAATTGGTCAGCTCTCAAGTATAGTAGGACATTTTAAGTATTGATCACAGTACATGAACTCACTTGTTATATACAATGCCTTTTTAATGTAAAAGTCGCAACATCAAAGCCAATAAAAATACTGCTTCGTAATAATGGTTTGATGTTTTTCTTACCTATATATAATACCTTGAAAGTGATACTGTGTATTTAAAATATACTATGTCAATCAGGCCTGGTTCGAATATGAGTAGAAGAATGAGTTTGGAGTACTCATATGAGAAAACATTTTTTTTCTCTTTGAATTCTGTAAAGAAACATCTTAATTTTTGAGATGTAGTTGCCTTTGAGCTATTTAACTTTTTTAATATACATGGAAGATACATATCTTCTGAGTGAATATTGAGAGCTTGTGCATGAATAGGTTTCAATGAGATTTATTAATGCAAGTAGCATAATGAAGTTAGGTCAACCAAGACAAGCCAAAGATTCATAACAGAAATACTAGAGATTCTTTTAATAAACATATAATAGCACATTCTCCTATTGATACTCTCAAATGCTTCAGGAGATAATGTTTTTGTTGTTGCTCTTTTTGTCCCTTCTCTTTCTCACTGCTTTTCATCTTTCAATCCTGTATGGTAAAGTTGCTGAGATCTGCTGGGTGGAATGCTGCCAAAACTGAACAAAAAAGTGTTGGTAGTGTTCTTAAGCATGAGTTTATATGCAGCTGTATTTTGTGTAGCTGTGAAGGGGCTGCTATGCAATGATTTGGGAACTCTAAAATTATGCTGCTTAATTCAAATATGTTCATAATTTATTATTGCCCAATATTTACTGTGTAAAGACAGAATGTGAAAGATTTTTTTTATCTTTGCAGGTAGCTAGGTAATTTACTTTTGTAAAGACATAAGAGCTTAGAAGTTACCAAATTATTATTTTTTAATTCAAGATAATGCTAGTACATAAAATATCATCAGGTTTAGTCACTAGGTATTATTCTAGAAAGCTAGGTAGAATTTTCAAGTTGCAATTCTCAATATAAATAGTCTTTCTGTGTAGTGATTCAAAATCACACAGCTCTGCCTGGTTAGAATGCCTGGGACTAGTCTGCCAGTCTGTAGACTCACTTGTGTTGACACCTGTGCTTCCAAAGATGTTTGTGTGTAGCTAGTTCCATGTTAATCAGCATATGTGAACTTGTGATTAATACATTTGCTAGAATTTAATACTGCTGAATGTTAGCTATAAAATTAAACAGTACTCCAAAATCTGTGCAGCACAGCAAGACATCAAATCTTACAACTGTATGTTCCAAGAAATACAGTTGTATTTTCTTTTTCTTGTCAGTTGAGGGGTTTGCTGTCTGGATTCTTTCAGCAATATAGCATTTGCAGCAGTAGTAATGTACATTGCTAAATGATGGATCTGTCAGTATGGTTGAATGCTGTTAATTGTTTTGTATCTATTACCAGTGGAAACGAGAGCAAGAATTTGATTTGCAGTTACTTGAGAGGGCAATTCGTGGAGAAGAGAAGGATGAAAACGAATGGTTAAAAGTTCAGCCAGTAGCAGTGACAGAGACAGACTTGGAGCCTCAAGACTATGATTTAGATATCAGCAGAGAGGTAACACTGAATTTTTTGCCTCCTATTCTGTGTCCCCAAATATTAACCTTTTTAAGCTTTAGGTAGTGAATTCTCATATTTTCTTTCATAAGTTAGCTGGAAGTTTGCACTAAAAGGAGTCTTTTGTGTATTGAAAATTTATGCCCTGGCACTTAGAATCTCTGTAAAGTTTGTGTTGTGTTTTAGTGGAGAGAAGAAATTGAAAGGTTGGCTCTACTGTTTGAAATATCTTATCTCAGGCTTTATAAAGGAAAAAGTGATTAAGTTAGGAAATGTTACATAAATTGGGAAAAAAGGATGGGAAGACAATATCAAGAGTATTTGAAAATAAGAAACAGCAATGAAGTAAATGTTAGTTCCCCAGAGCTACCTTAATCTTCATTCTGACTGGCAAAACGTGGTAGAAAAGAGGGACCACTGCTTTTTTCCTGATCAGAACAAAAACCACCTTTGTTAGCTTTTCAAATTACTTGGTCGGTCTTCCCGGCACTAGATCTTTTTTCAGCTCTAGTAACTGAGTAAAATATTTGTTGGAAATGCGATTGAGCCATCTGGTGGAAAAGAAAGAATAGAGCAAGTGGAAAGATTTCGGTAGGTACTGTGCCTTGCGTAAAATGCTGGGGTAGATGGAAAATCAGTAAGATTATTAATGATAATTTGACTAGCAAGCACCTCTACTCTTCTGAAAGCTGTTGGCAATGTAGCATTTTATATAGAGAGAGATTTGTAAGAGGTTGAATCTGTGAGCCATTATCTGTTGATCTCTGTGAATGAGTGCATCTTTCAATTAATCTTTGGATATTTTCTACAGAAAATGCAGTGCTCTTTGAACTTCAGAAACAGAAAAAATACCTTTGTTGTATTGCCTGTCCTTGTTGCAGTCTGCTGTTGAAATTTTTTCCAGGCTTCCAGTGAATCACTTCCTACATCCAAATTCCTAGAATCACAGAACAGTTTGGGTTGGAAGGGACCTTAAAGCTCATCCAGTTCCAACCCCCCTGCCAGCAGCAGGGACACCTTCCACTAGGCCAGGTTTCTCAAAACCCCTTAAGCCTTGGATAGGAAGCATCGCTGCTTATAAGCATTTCTGTCCTGCTTCAGAGCAACAGTCACACATCTATTTGTGCTTTTCAAAAGCAGTCTGTTCTGTATAATCAGCATTCGTGTTTCAAAGTCCATATTTAAATTCAACTTTCATTGGGTGTGTTAGGGAGGAGGAAAGATTTCCTGCAAGGAAACTGATCCTAAAAAACCCTTGTTGCTAGCTTTTGTGCAATCATATTAATTTTTCAATCTACAGGATTATGTGTATGCAGCATGTTGTTACAATTGCACAATGTTACTGTATTTCTGGGTCAGTTCCCTAGACAACTTTTCAACACCTGGGATTTCAGATTTTATAGTCCAAGAATTTCCTAAGATGTTTACCAACTGCTGGGTGTTTTTTTTGTTTGTTTGGGGTTTTTTTTGGTCTGCTGCTCACAGAAGAAGATTATGCAGTCTAAAAAGAATGGTACCCTAGATTAAAACTTTAGGTGATATTTCCTTTCAGTTGTAGGAAGTCCTGGCTGGCATGACATAAATATCATGACATTAAAATCTCATGTTGTCCAGTCAGTCTTGTAGTGGTTGCTTCTTTCTACTGTAACTGCTTTAGGCAGTGTCCTACTGTGGGCTCTAAGCTTGAGCTGAAGAAAGATTCCCTGTTGATTCTGATTTCTTTTGTAATCCCCTTTAATATTTGTTCGATCTATCTTCTAAAGTAAAATAAATCAGAGGGAAAAGACACTGTTAAAAGGGCATCATCTCATATCCAGAGGGAATGTTTAGCATCAGGTACATGTATTGACTGTGAAAACCCATGCTTTATTCTTTTCGCTGTGTTCTCCCATTGAGGAGAATTTATCTCAATTTTTTTAAGTCTTTTGATATTAAAAATTTGACGCAGGCTTTCTTTCCACAGTTGTCAAAACCTGAGAAGGTTGCAATTCCAGAGCGCTATGTTGAACTGGAGCCAGAAGAGCCTCTTTCTACAGAAGAGCTGGCAGCAAGGCAGCGTAAAGCAGAAAAGATAAAGAATATTCTTACTAAATCAAGGTCCGTTTTTTCTTTTCCCAAATCTCATATAAGGGCTGATGTTAAACATTAGGAACTAAATTTATACAACAGTCTAATTCCTATTGAATTATCTAACTTGTGGCTTTTAGAAAATGCACACAGAATTTATGTAGCATACTTAAAGCTCCTTTTTAAAACAGAGTAGAAGAGATAATGAGACATTTTGTATATGTCCCTTTTCTTGTTCAGAGCATCGTAAAATAGTAGTGAGTCCTTATGAAGCAACTTGTAGATGAGAGTGAGGAGGAAGGAAGGGCACAGATCTGCCAAAAACAGAAGAAAAGTTAGTGTGAGAGCAAGTTTCTGTTGTCTTCAGAGAGCTGGAGTTCCAGAAGAACACTTTTGGCTGCTTACAGCTAATGTAGAGTCGCTGAAACATTCAGTTTCAAGAATTTTATTACCTCAAATATCTGCTGTCTCTTTGGAAGACAATTAAAGAGGCTGTGCCTGAGGACCACCAGGTTATATGCCTTTTCCTCTGGGTGCTAACAAGAAATTTTACTGACTTCAAATAAATAGTATTTTTTGGTAATGCTTTCATGTAAACTACATATTTACCACAAAGAACTTTGAGATGTACTTAAGGCGATGCAGAAATTGTGACTGAATGTGTAATGGCTGCATCATTTGTCTTTGTATGCTGTAGCCATTTACATACAATATCTGACACAACTTTAAAGAACTTCAATGAAATACAGAGCTTGATAGATGAGATCTGAAAACTGCTGTATGAATTCAAGCTGTTCTCATCTGCATGGTGGATTCTTCTTTATGTTTGTAAATGTTAATGTTGTTTTCTACTTTCCCACTAGTATGCACAATCTACAGCCTACTGTTGCCCAGGACAAACACAACTCGGTTGATTTAGATTCACAGCTGCAAGAGCAGGAGCGCATCATTACCATATCATACGCTTTGGCTTCTGAAGCCTCTCAGAGGAGCAAGGAGGTAGCAGGTAATACTTAGTTATTTACAAAATAACAGCTATTTCTTATCAGCTTCTAAAGTTGTGTGGGGTTGTTGCTGAACTCCTGGTATAAGAGAGAGTTTTATTCATTCATATTCAAAATAGTGAAAAGTGTATATAGATAACAGAGACTAAAGATTTATGTTGAGTATTTGGCCTTCAATGGACAGGGTGAAGGAGACAAAATAATATGATCAGTAAGTTCAGAGCCTGGAACCTTGCTCTTACTAATAATACTAAAAAAAATTAACATTTTCAATTAGTTCCTTATAATTATATTAAATGAGCTATTTCTATATTCATTTTTAAAATGTAAATTGATCTATGACTTAAAAAAGTCAAAAGAAAGGGACTTTAAATTTCTTTAACAGAAAGATTCACTGCCTCAGTGATTGAAATTAGAGTACAATCATTTGCAGCTTGAGCTGCAATGACAACAGGCTGAAAAAGACACTGTAAAATGAGTATTGGCACGTTTCTGTCTGGTGACCAAGATTAGAGGTCAGAGCAAGACAGCCATGCATGAATTCTGCTTGATGCCTGGGAATTAATAGGTGCTTTGCAATACATTACTAAAAGCGATAATTTCAGTCTTGATTGCAGTATAGTTGAAATAAGTGAGAAATGTCAAGATATTTGTATTGCACGGTAATACATGCAGCAGCTATTCTAGCAAGTATCTGACTGGCCATTTATAACTGGCAGAGTTCACTCTTCCAGTGGAGAATGGAAATAATGAAAACTTCAACTATGATGGAGGAGAAATAAGCACATTTCTCATCTGAAGTTGTCAGTTTAAACTTATGGCGCTTGCCACAGAAGCCCTTAAGACCTTCCCATTAGAGAAAGATTATTCAAATATCCAGATGCATAACATGCATCTATGGTAACAGACTGTTGATTGAATGTGGTTGTATACTCATGCATGCAGTGGCAGCCAAATCTGAAGGAAATGTGATTTTGAGGGGATAAAATACATTTTCAAGATATGAATCTTGAGACTTTGGAGGGGTTCTGTAGGTAATTTAACTGACTGGAAGGGATAAAATGCTTCATGGAGGGGGCTAGACAATATAAAAAAAAACAAACAAACAAAAACCCAAACAAAAACAACCCCAGAAGTGTAAAATATTGGGAGCATTTCAGGAATAACCTTTTGGACCTTCAGGCATCTGTGCGTCAAAACGGCTTCTCCGCAGGCAGTCTGGTTCCACTTCTAGTAGGCAGGTCCTTGTAAGGGGGACTCACACACTTTGGTTATGGAGTGGGACTTAGGGTTTCAGGAGGTAGGAGCCCATGCAGCATTTTGCCACGTGACTTCTAGGTTCTCTGTGAAAAGGTATCACCGAAGCCAAGATCAACCAAGATGAACACAGCCCATATCTGAAATTACTCCCTGTGTCAGTACAACAGGAGCAGACTCAACAGTCTTCATGTGGCCGGTTCACTTCTGGGTGTGCGTGGAGTTGCAATAACTGCACAGTACTGAAATTTGTTTGATCTTTTTGTGTTGTAGAGTGAATATAGTAGCAATGTTTTCATTACTACAGGTTTTTTGTTTATGTTTTAATTTTTTAATTATAATTATTTTAAAAGTGTGATCACCACGTATTCTTAAGTATTTGTAGCCACAGAAATTTTCTTTAGTTCTTCCCAAAGAGAAAATTAAAATGTTTTTCGGCACTGAAATGTTTAAATGCTACTTGAAAAAATGTGCAGTCAGTTGAGAGATTATTTTTAATCTGATCTTCTTTATGAAGTAGAGCAGCTAGCTCTTTTGTCTTTCAGGTACTTAAAAAAGTAGGCAATTCCTTGATTCTTTAAGGAAGCCCAAACATTTATGTCCATGCACAGTTTTCCTTGCCATATTTGTATCTCAAATAGTCACTTCTTGTAACATGTCTTGCTTTGATTTCAGTTATTTACTTACTCCCTTCAAAACAAACACCTTTCAAGGAATTCTAAAAAAAGCCAAAATAGTTTGGTTTTGATAGAAAATATGCAAACCATAAAAAGAGCTCCGGTTTTTAAGGTATGACCTATTTTCTGATGATCTCAGGTGCTTAAAAAGAAAGTCTGCTTTGCATAGCAGATTGTACATTCTCATTTATTCTAATTCTACAAGTTCTTTAACATTATTATTTTTGTAGTTTGATTTTTAAAGCATGGGTTGTCATTTGGTCCTTGTTGACAAAGCGGACCATATCTGAAAATCCAAACCTAGATTTTTTTTTTACAAAGATTTGCTTATGAAAAAGATTGAAGTTTAACTTCTCCCAGTTTTGGGGGGGAAGCAATTAAGTTATGTTAAGATGCTATGATAATGTAAATCTTTTTTACAATAAATGGTGCGATAGTGGATATCTGATCCTTCTAAAGTAGCATTTTAGAGTTCATCTGTTCCTAGTAAGAAGTTAGCCTTCTAAATTGAAATCATGCCAAGAATCTAAAATATTAAAATCGAATGTAGGAGTATCAAGAAGTCATTTCCTAAATTCTTTTTTCTGGAAAAAGGTCTCCCTTTGGCCTTCCAAAATGTAAAAGCAGAATTTATGACTGAGTTTCAATCTCTTTAGTTTTGTTATTGTCTTCTGATATTGTACAATTATTCTGTTTCATAAACAAGCATAATTTTAATCACTGTGTTCTTTATCCTGAAGTTTCAAGCTGAAATCTGAAAATGTATTCACTCTATCATGCACTGTATAAGCAAAATGTTATATGCACATGTAACTCTTTTGTTATTTTTCTGTATATTATTTTTGTTTCTGCTCATTGGCACTTAGCAAAGGAAATGCTGAAAACCTGTACAACCTCAGTGAGATCTTGAAATCAAATTAGCAAATATAGGTGCTATTCCAGTACTGCAGTTTTAAAAGCAGGGCTGGATTAGAGTGTATCAGTGTTGTGTGCCTTAAAATGTTCCAGTGAAATGTCATCTTAAGCTGGATTGTCCATATTCTCATCAAAACAGGAATGTTTATTTGCAGAACTTATGCAACTAATAGAAAAAAAAAACCAGCAGGTAGAAATGTTGTTGGTTACATTGTGTTTGGAGTCACTAAAATGGTGTAACACCTCATTGCATTACTAATCAAGTTTCCTGTTCATGTGGTAGAAAATTAAGGTGGCTCTGTTATAATATGGATGTTTGATTGTGCAGCCTAATTGCTGTATGTGATCCCTTCTAGCTCAGCAGTTGACCTATTCATCTAAAGCACCCTCACCTTCTGTACCACAGCCACCTCACTCCCCTTTAAGCAATGGATTTCACTACACATTTGTTTAAACACCTTAAAAGTAAGAACTAACTGCTCTCGGCATGTCTGATTTGCCATTGTACCTTTGCTGCAGCTTGCTGAATTTTAACATTTTTACTAACCCTAAATTAGATCCAAATGAACGCATGCATCTATTTTTCAGAAACCTTTTATTCTTGTAAATATTGCTTCTAATGAGCTAACACCTGGGCTAATAGTCTTCAAATAACCACTGTTGCTCTGCAGATAAGATGCTTCCATAATCTTACTGTGGTGAAGGAAAGAGATCTCTGTACTCTGGGTAGCATGGGGCCAGATTTTCAGCAGCAGTTTGTACTCCGGTGGCTGGTGTTGTCCACTCCGGTGGCTACCGCAGGGTTGTGCAGGTATTTTTGCCTGCACAGGGCATATACAGTTGCTGCACAAGAGAATCAAAGTGCAAACACAGTTGTGTAAGCTGGGGGTTTGTTTATGGGCTGGTATCTTACACGTGAACTGACATCAGAGTCTTAATTGAGGTGAGCTGAAAATTTGGCCCTTTATAACTAATTCTACAGTATTGTGTTTGACTTTTTCGTGCCTTTGTGGTTTTCATTGAATTGTGTTAAAAGACAACTTGATTTTTGTCTCCAATTAGGTTATTTTGCCATTTCAAGTATTAAAATTACAGTAATTTAATTGTCCTTTTAAAGAAATGTGTATCATCTCTTCCCAGTAGTATTTTCAGAGTTTTCTCTGTTTGAAATAGGAAAACGTGTAAATATTATGATAATTAACTGCTAAGTGTGCCCCTAGTTAAGACACTCCTCATGCTTCCATAGTTTCCTTTGAAATTATTCTCACCTTTCTGATTTCCTTTGGCCTGATTTTGTTGCCTGATTTTGGACAAAAAGATAAGACATAGAGGAAGTGGTAAAGAGGGTTGGTAGAGTGAACACCTCAAATAATGTTAATCTTTAGATACCTTTTTTTTCATTGTCACTAATCTGAGTCAAATGCCTGTGCAAAAGTAAAACTCTAAATAAAAATGAGCACATATCAGAAAGGCCCAAATGGGCAGTGACCTGCCTTCAGCAGGGCCTGTGAAAAATGACAGATTTACATCAAGAGAGGTGTACAGACATTAGAGCCTCTACAGAGCTTGATGGAAATAGCTATTTGCTTTTCTGGTTCGGTTTATCTCTCTAAGAATCAGATCCTGCCATCTTTGCTGTATCCGAATGACATTTGACTCTACTATCATATCCAGGGATATGCTAGTTGATTATTACTGTCACATGAGATCTTTGCATGTGAATAGAGTACCCATGTGTGGCCTCAAGAATTGAGAAATTAACCATACAGTCCCAGTGTATGAGACTTGAGCAGGGGGCTTGGACCAGACGACCTTCAGAGGTCCCTTCCTACCCCGAGCATTCTGTGATTCCAGACTGACTTAAAATCATCTGTATCATGTGTGTATATATAGATAGATATTTACATATATAAATATATATATATATATAGTTATATAAAAACCTAAATTTTCTTCAGGAAAATGATCAAGAAAATAATTGCAATAATGAGCAGCATGCAGGGGACACAGGTGTTTGAGCATGAACTCAGTGGCATCGTGAGAGAATTGTTCGCTTGATGTGTCTCTAGGAATTGTTCATTCTGGCAAACTGCACAAGGCTTTGATAAAAAAAATGTTTCCTAGAAGTCGCTTACTGCTTGGCATGAGTGTACTCACTTTAATATTTAACGTGTTTTGTTTTACTTCGTGCTAGCCAAAGCAGTAAGTGAACACTGACATAAGACTCAAGGCCAATCCCACCTAGTGACGCCGCGTGGAAGGAAGAGGAGATTCTGTCCCAGCTTTCTGTGAAGATATTCATCGGCTGATGCCGTGTTCTTCTGGAAATACGTTCAGAGAATAATAGGGGGATTTTCTATGAAAATGAGGAGAATTGCAAATCATTTTATTTTCACTGCAGTTTAGTTCAGACTTTTTATATGAATAAATGGCACTTTTAATAAACTCTGTAAAATACTGACAATGTATTTTTAGAACGATGTATTGTAGATTTTTTTTTAAAATCAAGGGCTGAATTCATTTTAAGAGAAGCTACTTGCATAGACATTAAAAGATGCTGTTACTTCCCCCTCAGGCTCAGATGCACAATGTAAAGCTTCATGAAAAAAATGTAAATTTGAACAAACCTAGAAGCACATTCATAGGGTATGGATAGAGCTAATGCAAGTGAGAGGTTTGCCAAAAGGGTGGTTTGGACTGGATATTTTTATAATTACTCACCCAGCCTTTTGCCCATTAAATTAAGACATTGCAAGGAACCTTTAGCTTGAATTCCTGAATATCAGTAACCGCTGTCTAGCTGAAATTTTCCATGAAAGCCATAATGAGAGCCAGTTTTAACTCCTATTTTGTTTTTTGATCCCATAGGGTTAACTTGCTGGTATCAATGCCCAGTATCCTAGGTTGCTCTTGACAGTAGTGCTGTCCCCTCAGTAACAAACACCTAACAAATTGTATTTTTTTGAAAGTTGAGATGTGGAAGAAGAAAACTTTTAAGTAAAATAGGTGAACTAAGCAATAAAAAGATATAATAGGATATGTCCTTTTACTAGTAAATATGTATTTTTCTTTTGATTTTTTTAAAAAAATAAACATTATGATATGATGTATTGACCAGTATTTATCCTGGAAATAGCAAAACTGATGTAATGTGGCGCCTGCTAATTTCATGTGTGTTCACCTGGTGCTTAACTTTGCCAAACTTTGGAATTCAGTGTTTTACTTATGTATAGGGCAAAGGGCAGTTACATAAGGAGAAAGTAGATTAAATGGATTGCTGCAACTAGTTTACTTAAAAACCTGTATATGCATTGAATGGAAGACATGCAAAAATTTCCCAATGTTATGTAATTATTAGTCGAGTTCAGCTCTAGATGAGAAATACCTTGAGAAATACGTCTGCAGTATTTTGTGAAACCACTAAGTTGTTTATTTGCTGTATCCAAGTAATGGCTACAAAACCCTTGAAACTGATTGACCTTTAAGTTTCGGACTTGAAGACAAATCATATATTAACACTATACTCAGAAATATTCTTAAAAGTATATATTTAGCTAATGCAATCTATCTTACCTCAATACTGCCAGTATCAACTTCAAAACCTTTTGCCAAAATAATGATTTATTTTTGCCTTTATAAAATGTTTTGAAAGCATAAATGAATATTTTGCAAGAAAACATTAATTTAAATAAAATGTAACAGTTTGGAAAATGGTATATGTACAGATTAAAATATTAACATAACTGCCTCCTGTTGCCTCTGCCTTGTCTGCTCTGTTATCAGCATGGATATAGTTGAAAATACGGAGTTGTTTGTGCTGTTATCACATTTTGCTCTTTGGTTCAAATTCCATTGAAGTTCCCCAGTTTTGCACTTATTTCACTGGGATTTGGGTCAGGTTCCTACACTAAAGCTTCATTTTTATTTTAATTTTTATTCTTTTTTAGAAATGTTACTTAGCATTTGATTAAATCTATCTTCATCTAGAATAGAAAGACTTTTTCCAGGGTTGTTCCCTAAACACAGTGACTACAATACTGTCCTTTCCATCTCGTAGATACGTACGTTTGTCTGACACATTCTTAGCCCTTTAGTTTCTGGTGAAATAAAGTATCAAAAGTAACTTTGATGTAAAAGCAAAGAAACAAAACCTGGAGGCATGGCGTAGTAACATGTGCACTGCATGGGGACAGGGTATTGACCCAGGAGAGGGCTGGTGAGAACTGGCGCGGCAGATTTTGCAGCAGCAGCTCCCCGGCAAGGATTTCCACTGTAACAGTTCCCATAAGCTTGATGGAGACCAGTGGAAATGTTTAATTCTTTTGAAACTTAATCGTTGGAACAAAATGTGAAGAAGCAGTGAGAAGTAGTTTGGTGGCTTAGTGTTGACTTTGCGAACTTGAGAGCGAATATTTGAGGATGTGAGTACTTGACCTTCAGATGCGTGCAGCAG